GGTTGCTTGTAATCGTAACCGTTTTGTAGATGATAATGATAGGTTTAAAAGATTTTGATTGTGTTTAATGATAAGTTTAAAAGATTCTAACCGTTTTCTAGATAATATATCATTTCCATTATTACGCTTTTAATTTTAGATTTTTTTGAATCTTTTTAAATTTTAATTTTAATTTTAAAAATCTTTTAATTTTATTTTTTATCACAATATGTGGTTACTGAGTTGTTCTCGCGTTTTCGTAAATTACAAGGGTTCTCGTTTGAACCCTTTATATATATATATATATATATATATATATATATATATGTGTGTGTGTGTGTGTACCCTCTTTTAAGATGACGACGACCCAAAGTTATACCGGTAATGCCGCTAATTTTTATGGGATTCTTCAAGAACTGGATCCTATAGATCGTATCTCATGCATTAAGAATAGCACACCAAAAAGTTCACTCGCAACATCATCTCCTATATGCACCACCATCTTACTATATCATATTATATTCATATATAGAAGGGGAAGAGAGTGACAAAATGTTGAAGGCTCACTCTTTTAACTGTTTTTAACAGAGCCAACACCAGCAAAAGTACTACTACACAATACATACAGCCAGCCAGCCACCCCCTAACCCCAAAAAAACTCCCTCCAACCCTGCACCCGCACCCTTACCCTTATTCCATCATTTTCCACGAGTCGTTGATCTTCTCAAAGTCGGTTTTGAGTTTTCCGAAGGGTTAACAGGCCGCCCACCTAATCTATCGACGTTAGCCTCCCTACAACTATTACTACAACTTAGGTTTCTACACTGATCATCGTCTGGGTACAAAACTCCTGGTTCCCTCGATGTGTTGTGATCATTCCGGGAGTACAAGGGTGAAGGGAAGGAAGATGACGAGGATGAAGTGTCGGAATCCGATGAGTTCAGGTGCATGCTCCTCCATGGAGGGCTGCTGTTGTTCCAACATTCATGTTCCCAGTCCCAGGAAATGTGGTCGCTTGAATCCCTGTGGCTGCTCTCCGTGCTGCAAGAACAAGACTCTGAGAAGATTCCAGAGCTATCACTCGAGGATGATTCCTCTTCAAGGCTCCGGTGACGGATGGCTGGCTGGTTAATGTCCCATGCTTCAGTCGGCTGAGGTCTTGACGCAAATAATGTTGCCCCTTTGTGTTTCTTTGGATCATGGTGGTGGCGCATTAACAAGCTACGAACTAAACGTGGAGCACGTGGGGAGCACCTGCTTGTCATGTTTACAACAATGTTAAATCAGTTTCAAACTTACCGTTTGTTGCAATGCATCAACTTTTAGGACTCTTGAGGTGCGTTTGGCATGCGGACAGGACTGGACAGAGACAAACAAGAGCGAGGTTGGTGGGTGAAAGAACTATGGACGGTTTTGGGTTTTAATTTTGACATTGGTGGTTTAATAATTTACCAATCTAATGTCATGCCAAGCATAGGACAACATAGTTTTGTTCTGTTCTATTTTATTCTATCCTGTCCCACGTACAAAACGCACGCTATTTGATGAAATGCAAAGCAAAAAGGTAGCAAGATCAAGAAATCAGGATTGGAATCAAAAGGGTATTTTGTATAAACTATACCTAGCATAGAGAAGCATGTATGCTCCTTTCGTCAAGACACTTTGAAGATCCACCTCCTTTACCTACATTATAAAAGAGAAGCGCAAGATTAAAAAAACGGCATGTTTATTAGAAAAACTTACAAAAGTAAAAACTGATAGGAAGGAAAGCTGCACAAAGAAGACAGATTTCATGAGTTTTTAAATGAATTGTATTTTGTGGGTTCATAAAAGCAACCTCAGAATGAAGCATGAGAGTGCTTATAACATACCCTGCTGTCATCGATCTTGAACCACCGATTCTCAACATTCTTAACATAGCACACATAATGACCAGAAAACGCAGCATTCATTACATCCACATGAACCACCACTCCATAAAGCCTGTAAATTGGCAATTTGTCACTCGTCCCACTCACGTATGGAGCCATGTCTAAAATCTCCGGGAAGTGAATTGGTTTGTTGAGCTTCCCAAATTTACCAGACTGAAACCATGGAAGCAAATAATAAGAAACATAAAAATCTCAGATGCAGGAGTCTAGAATCATCATTTTTTATAAGAAAGGATTACCTGAAACCGCTTCAATGCAATAGTAAGTACATTTGGAGCCTCCAACAATGTCAATTTCTTTTTGGCTTTCTCATAGGATTTGCACCTGAAAGCCATCATCATAACAAAATCAAAACAACCTTCTCATAGTTTAAGTGACAAGTTAAGGAAAAGATCGTCTGTCTTCATAAACCTAGAAACTGAAAACGTCAACAGTCAAAAACTGCCCACAAATAGTGCAATCACTGAAAATAGAACTTGCAAAGATCAATTCCCAGCAAAGATATAATCATTAACCATGTTCACAAAGCAAAAAGAGTCGTCGCAAAAGGAAAGAATGGAAAGAGAAAAAGAAAGATTTGGGAAACCATAAGGTATATGTGCCATGTGAAAGAGAAACCCTACAAGAAATTAGCATAAAACAAAGCCAATATACAAAAAGAAAGAAAGAAAACAGATGGTCAAAAGCTGAACAGTATATTATGAGGTTCACTAAGAAAGTAAATCAGGTGGAAAACAACACAGCATTCTATAGAAAATACAAGGTAAGATCAGAAACTCTGAACTAACCTGCTGCATTTATACTTGTTTTCACCATCCAGTATCTCATTACATGTAAATTTATCAAGAGCCTCTTCTAGAGTTCTTATATCGCCTTCTATTTCAACGGTGAGATCCATCATCCGCTCATGTCGCTCTGATTTCCCTCCACACTTCATGCACTTTATCTACAAATAAAAAACACCATTTAGGCATCTACTCGACACTTCCACACATCTCACAACGAGTGTATTCAGATAGAGGCACTCTTATTTTGATTTTGAACATAGATTCTTTTAATGACCAAAATGTTACCTTAGATCTTAGATAACCCCCAAAGGTAAGTCCAATCAGAGTTGTTTCTTCTTCTAGAGGATTGGAAGAATTCGTTCCAGCTTCCTTGAGGCAAACTGATTGCAAAGTATCTATAGCATACCTGTAACATCACTTGATAAATGACTTAAGACAACACCAATCTAAAGATAGGTGCAACATAAAAGCAAACCAAAAAAAGGAGAAAGTGGACAAGTCCCATAAAAGCCACTTTACCTTAAAAATTCATGTGCATCTTCTTCTCTCCCATGGCCAAGATTGCTTCCGATGTTTTCTATCTGGGAAAGTATGCGAATAGGAGAAAGTGGAGAAGTCCCATCCTTTGCCTTCAAAACAAGGCCTTCAAACTCACATGCAAAGCACCACTCTCTCTTATCACCTAACATAGATGGCAACAAAGCATACAAGTCAAAATAGGCTGCCGATCTATAATACTTTTTTTCCTATGCGTTCGATACAAAAAAGTTAACATTATAACATACATGTTTTTGAATGGAATCCTTCAAGAAAATAAGCATTTAAAGGTGGTGTGTATGTCAAACACTGGAGCACAGCATTAGCATAACAGCTGCAGAACATAGAAATTGTTAAAATAAGATGAAGGCAGATAATAATATCACCAACATTGTGGTATATACACTAATGAGTACACTGTAAAACATAATCATATAATCCTAAAGTAGACCAAAGAGTAGGTTCCAGAGGTATCAACTTGACTATTAAATCCTGCACTTCTATACTACATCTTGGTAGTACGAGACTACTGGAGCACACCTATAAATCGCAAATATGAAAACCATAGCGACAAGCTTTTACCTATTTCCACAATTTATGAGGCCAAAAGGCTGCATTTCAACCTTTTTCCAGTTATAAAGCTTGACAAACATTTCATATGAGAAGAGGACCTGTTAAAAAGATCAATTGGAAGTGTTAGGTTATAAAGCTCAGTCTTCATGATAAAGAAAAATAGCATAAATTCCAAGCAAGACCTTGCAACTGTATCTATGTGCTGTCTCACTTTCTGCTCTTACTGAACAGTGACGAGACAACTTAGAGGGCTTGAGCTGGTCAACAACTTTCAGCATTGATGTCTTCAATCCATTTCTAGCACTCTCGGAATTTTCTGTCAGCTTGGATGAACAAGCGACGGCCCTATTTTTCTCATCATGAACCATTACAGGCTTTGGACTTTGAGATACAGGTCTGCTCGTAGATGATGTTAAATGAGTATCAGAAGCTTTGGATAATGATGAGCGTACTCTTATAGATTCAGATGCAGGTGAAATACTGCTTTTGTTGTTGAAAACATGATTTGACCTCTCCAAACTTGCAGAAGGCATGCCACCAAATGCTTTAGAATATTTAATTGTTGAATGCTCTCCAGCACCAGAAGCATATTGGGAACCAGCACCAGATGGAGAAACTTTAGCTTCCTTGAACATGGATCGAGGCAAATCACTGTCCACAACTACATCCGTGTGCTTTAACATCTCTGGGGTATATTTTGGTTGCCTTGTCGACTTCAGCCCATCCATCAACAATTCATTTGATGAAGTGGGTTCCTCATTGGACTTCTTACTTCCCAAGCCATTTGGAGCAGAGTTATCCAATACGGTCGAAGTCACGGCAACACCTTTCATACTGGTGCTATTATAACCACTTGTGGTCACTTTGGAAGAAAGCCCCAAAGATGACCGAGAATCAGTCATGTTCCCATTGGCGACCCCGTTGGAACTAGACAGTTCAAAACCATCACGCTCATCAATGCTGGATTTCTTGGAATGGATCACCCCGCTCCAAAACCCAGAAGAGGTTGTAGAAGGCTCAGAAAATGAAGACCCGTTAGAGCCACCGTCACCCCGACTGGATGAACTTGAAACCCTGGATTGAGTATCTTCATCACTAAGATTAGATTTGTTCTGATTGATCTTCCTTGAACCAGTAGATTTTCTTCCAGGACTGACCAAGGACTGGTGGCCCGATTTTACTGTCACAGAATTGCCAGAGACAGCATCAACAAACTGATGGGCGTCCATCCTATCAGAATCCCCTGAACTGTCCGAAGAGGCTTCAGTGGATGATTTGTTAGGAGTCGAGAAAGTAGAAAATTCCTCGCATGACGATTCAGAAGCTGATTGGAAGATAGATCTAGTTTCGGGTCGATGAGCATGAGATTGGATTCCTGCATCATCCTTGTGATGCATACCTTCATGGAAATTTTCACCTGGTAAGTTGTCATCGGAATCTTTATCATTCCCTTGCTTAGAACTTCCTGACACATCTTTGATAGGATTCACGGCCACATAAGGACGGCATTGATCCTTGTGACCTTGTCTCCAGTGAACAATTTGACATCTGCCGGAGCTGCAATTAAATTGTAAACTGATTAAACAAATGAAATGCTACAAGAGCAAAAGAACAGGAAAACTAAATTGCCACTTCACATGTAAGGAATATTGAGTTGTCGATTAAGATCATACATTGACACCTTATCATGTTAACGTGCCATGAAACTCAAAACAAACCATACACAAAAATGAAATATAGAAACCTATCAATATAACCTTTTCTGCCTGACCAATAAGTTGCCAGTATACATAAAACAGTTCACATTTAGGTGGCCCAATTCTAGCAGGTTTGTTATCAGCACATAGAAAACCATAGACCAAGATGAACCCATCCATTGATTCTGTGATCCAACTCCTGGTAACGACATTCATTTACACTAGGTGATTCATTCTACACATCAACTTCCTTGAAAACAAAGAATCAATGCAATCAAACATTACTTTTCTATCTTAAATTAAATGCATATGGTTTCTAGCCACATACTCGATGTTCTAAGAGTTGGTTTAAGTGTCTGACTAGGTGGAGGCAGGTAGTAACTAGTAAACCATTCCGACTTTGGTATAATTACCCAGTTATGCGTGACTATAGCAACTAAACAGAAGACCAGCTCACCAACTTTGCTCAACTCATCTGTGTGAAAAGCCAACTGACTAATTGATCCAATATAGCTTTAGGACTAAATAAAATAGGAATTCTTATGTTTCAATGTTCATAAAGAGAAGACAATCCAGAATTTCATGCTCAATCCAGATTTCCATATCCGAATACAACTTCTAAGCATTCAATGCTTAATTTACCGCAGAAATTAAGCTAAAGAAATGGTAAGTACATCTCTGCTAGGTGTATAAACAAAAATTAGTTTGCTGGTTAGCATAGACGTCAAATCATGGTTCATTTGAGTATCAGAATCTCGTCTTACTAAATCATGATCATTGACAAGTGAATCTCATTGTAACATAAGCTTCGCGCTTGATATGTGAAAAGTATTGAGACATTTGTACAGTTATAAACAGACATTCCATAGCATGGCATGTCATACATTAACTAACCAAACAATAAGATCATGTGATCAAAATGGTCCCATATCAACCCATGGCAGAAAATGTTGGTTCACATCCCACATTGATCATTTTGAAGTCCTTGGTTGTCAATAAATGTATCTGCTAAGAGCCTAAGAGTTGGATAATATTATTATGAAGATAAAATAGACTTGAACTTCATTTCTTTTGGCTAATCATAATTACTTATTTCCTTTAAGTCATTAAAATATGTAGCTGGATTTTTGGTCGAAGTAAAGCAAATAAAATTAAGAATGGAGAGAAAAAAGAATGCAGAGTAGTCACTCGGAGACAAATAAGAAAAGGATTAAAACAACAAAAAAGTACAAAAATCTAGGGTAGAGAACATATTTATTTTGTACAATTGTATCATCGTGTGTTGAACTCATTCAATAATATAAGAGGGATTTGTTAACACAAAGGCAATTCAGACAAGATTCTGACTCATTACTCATTAACGATTTGCTGACACTACAGCGATTCAGAAAAAATTTCCAACTCATTAATGATTTCCTATCATTTGTTTCAGGAATCTAATAGAATAGCACAAATTGTATCATGAATCATACAGTTTTGATTTTTGATGATACTGTCAGTTGAAAGGCTGAGACAGGAGCACATACCAGGCTATAAGCCAGGTTAATGCACAAACCTATTTTATACAGAATCAGTTAAGAAATGAATAGATCTCATACAATATAATCTTTTGACTATAAAATTGATAACGACAATCTACCAAGAGAATAATATATTAGTTCGAACTGTAAATATAGAAGGCACACAGTCACTGCTCATGCAAACTACATGGATATGGAACTACCATATGTGTGTCGCAAAAGGTGAACATACGCCCAAGCCTCCTAAAAGTAGCCAACCCTAGAAAGACTCGAGACATATAGAACACCATGCTAAAGGCTTCTTCGTACATATGATGTGCATTAGTGTGCCTCTAACATCTTTTAGTTAGTCATCAGATTATCCTGCTTTCATGCATGTAACACTCTACATCCAAACTTCCTACAGAAAGTTCCTCCAGTATGAGAACAGTGCATTAAATTGCATTCAGAAGAAAATAATAGGACTTCCATACACGTGAGGTGAAAATAATGTCCTAGAAGATAAGATTGGCAATCAAGCTCCAATATCCAAGCTATTCATCAACAAACGTCCCAAGGAGATCTCATATATTACTAAATTGTGCACATTAGCACGTAACCCATGTAAGGGATGTCCTCTTGTGGCCATTATGCATGTTGAAAGATATGTGTCAGTCCATACATAAGTTAATCACGTCAGTAGTGGAACAACAATATCCACAATATGTCCTTTTACAGAACTCCCAAATAACTATTATACTTCAAAACAGGTTCCAAATTAAATGAAATCAACAGAGCATAATTTATCACCATCATATATGTAGCAGCATCACGAGTCCTCTAAAATAATCTATTCACGTTAAGTTAAAAAGAGTGCAGCCATAAGCAGGTTGACATGCCCTACTATCGCCAGTCACGGTAAAGTAATTAGTAGCAAGTATAAGCACATCAAATGTGTAATACTTGCTAGTTTTTATTCATCAGCAAATATACAAACAGATTTATAGTACTGACAAGTAACAACAGCTATTATCATACTTTTTATCATCTGTTAGTGTACTGCAATTTCCCGTATGTTTTAAATATTTTGACGAGTCAGACCTTCACCTTGAGTTCACAAGGTTAACAAACCAAGCTCTCCCTATCTTTCTGATGGGTATGCACTTCTCTATTGGTTTAAACATTACGCAGAAACAATAACCTCTTAGTTTTTTTTACGACGACTTCTCCCCCTCTCAAAGAATAACTGTAATCAGTAATTGCCGTTTATATAATTTCTATCATTTAAACTGCATATTACCAGCTTGAATCAATTAAAGGAAGGGTTTTTTTCCCCATTAGTATATTTAGCCAAAGAATTCATCTATGACATCTCTAGAGGATCCACAACAGATAAACGCAAATAATAGAAACATGATTAAGATCAAGTAAGATAATCAACAACTTTACACTCTGGGGTTCCAGACTTAAGCTTACCAGTAACGAACAGCTTTGCACTTGGCACAACGCGTGCTGGTGGGAGAGAAGCAAACCGCACATTGATATGGTGGCTTCAACGCTGAGACCAATGGAACCGATGTCGTAGGCGGTATCCGGGCCGATTCCGGAGTCGGTACCCAGGCTGAATCCGGAGCCGGTATCCAGGCCGAATCCGGGGCCGGAACCGATGAACTAGTGTTGGCGGTGTAAAAGTATCCTTCTGTAGCCTCAATCTCAGCCCTAGCTGCCTCCTCAGATGCCAAAACCAAAAGCCTCTTAATCTCCTCCCTCCTCGCCTCCGCGTGCAGCCATTTTCTGCGGATAACAAAGCCGATCGCCGGCACAATCAAGAATACCACCACCAGGACCACCAGGTTTGGAAGCCCTAGATCCCTTCCAACAAGCATCTATATAAAACGACGACGCATCCAGCAGAATGATGATGAAACCCTAATTCCACAACAATCATAGATGGATTTCCTCGACCACAAAACAACGTATCATTCAGCAACAAAATCAATTTCAATCTTCAATCGATCAAATGACCCCTAATTCCACAAAGTTGATGCTTGCGATGATGATGGCGGTTCATAAACATAATACGAATGGATCAAAAAACCAAAAACTATGCAGTAAAATTGAGAAAGTAGGAAGATTTATGAGCCATGATGATTTTCCCAACCAGTTCTTCGTAGATTCTTGCACTTAACTTCGGAGATTTGCAGATCAAGATTTTAGGGCTTTTGTGTGTGTGAAAAAAGAGAGAAAATATGAAAGAAACGAATTTCCAAGCATCGAGAGACGTGAATTCTTCGGTCATCTAATATTCCGACCCGAAATCCACGAGGGGAATCGGATCTTCCCGTACGTTTTTCTAATTGGTTATATCAGAAAATAAAAATAGAAAATAGAATATTTAATTTCATTCCTTTGCTAATGGTTTAATATTTAAACTATAGTAAGTAATATCAGGTTTAATTGTAAATTAATTGGACAGATTTTGATAATTAATAAAACTAATTAAATGCTAGAAATAGAGTGGCTAATTAAGGAGTACATAGACCATCTCCAACTCAATCATTAAAAATAAAAATGTTAAATGCATGAAATAACAACCTATTTTTATATTTTTTTATTATAGCATTTTATTTTTGTTTTTTTATTACAGCAATGTACTTTCAAATTATTATTCATTAAGACATCGTACTTTAAAAAATCTACCCATTATAGCAATAGGTAACTTGTTACCTTTTAAACCAGTTAACTCTTTGACTTTTTTTGCTTGTGTGACTTTAATGAGTTGATATGAATGACACATCGTTATGATGATTTAATTAAAATAAAAATAAAAACCAAATTTAAATTATTATTAGTGATTTTCATTTTTCATTGCTATGATTTAAAAAAACACTTAACTTTTTGACTTTTTCTTATTAAGTTGTATGCAAAATAAATATTCTAGCGTAAAATATTTCTTAAGTAAATATGTTACATTATTTTTTAGATATATTTTGTTTGTAAAAAAAGGTAACACTTTTTATTTTATGTTGTTAAAAAAACATATTTTTTAAAGTTCTCTCTAAAATGTTAACGAAATAACTTGTGTTATACAATTTTTTAATATTTTTATATTAATAAATAATTAAGAAAAACCTAATTAATTCAATATATTTATACGTCAAGTAAAAGTTTTTGAACAAATATAGTATATTTTTTAAAAGATAATATTTTTTGGTAAAAAAAGGAACAATTCTTATTTTCTTTTTTCAAAAAGCACATATTTTTTTAAAAATATTAGCGAAATAAGTTGTTTACTACTAGTTTTATTAATATTGGTATATTAATGAATAATTTAGAACTTTTTTAAATTCATTTAATATATTTATTAAATAACATGTTAAATATCTAAATATTAAAATTAAAAGTACATTGTTTAATAAGAACTAGTAGATATTATAATAAAATAATTTTGAAAGTACAATGTTTTGTAATAAGAAAGTCTCGTCACTATAGTACATGTGTACAGCTTACGTGGACAATGAGGTGTGGTATAATGGGTAAATTTAAATCAAAAGATTACTCAATACTATAATGGGTAAATTTTTCAAAGTACAATGTTCTAATAAAAAATAGTTTGAAAGTACATTGCTATAATAAGAAAAACTGAAAGTACAATGTTATAATAAATAAATTTATAAAAGTAGAATGCTATTTTGTGCATAACACTAAAAATGGTGGGTTCATTGAACACTAGACTATGTTTGACAAACTGGCTAATAAGCTTTAAGCTAACTGGCTGATAAGCTAGCGGGTAGCTTATAAGCTAGTTAATGAACTAAATATGTATGGGTAAAATTGGTTAATCTTATAGTTAATTAAGAATTTTTCAAAAAAAATATTTAATCATATAGTTTATTAATATAAATATATATATATATATATATATATATATATATATATATTAAAGTTCC